TATGGGGGGCTCCGATGGTGTGGCAGGTGCATCTGTTGAGGTGTCCATTGCTGATTCATTGGGAGGTGTTGGGTCTGGTAGAGATTCTGGAGGAATGGGGACATGAGTCCAACGTTCGGCTACAGGGACACATTTGGTAGGTATGGCGGTGGCACTAAGTCTGTTTGGAGTAGTGTGGTCAAATTGTGTCTGCTGGCGTGGGCATGCACTTCAGCGTGGAGCTGGTACATCAGGTGGAGGTGCTGGCGCTGGGAGGTTGTCATTTGGAGGTGGTGTATCATGGGGTGGTAGTGTGTCCAGTGGGTTACCATCACATCCTCCCACTGATACCTGTGGCACGTCAGAGACAACAGGGATCACAGATGATGGCTCACCAGGCAGAGGGGCACCTCCCACTGGGGAACTGACAACAGCCGTAGGGTCAGCAACATCTACAAGTGCGCGAAGGGGGGACAGAGCAGGACCGCCGTAGAAGACAGATTCATCAAAGTGCACATGGCGAGAGCAAACAATGCGCTTGGTGGACAAGTCCCAGAGGACATAGCCAGTGTTCCATACATGCCTCAACAGGAAGCAATGGTGGGAGACAAACTCATACTTCTGATGTGTGTCATCAGGGATGTGGGAGTAGGTAAGACACCCAAAAGGGCGCAGGTAACTGACATCAGGCTTATGGTCATAGAAAGCCTCAAAGGGTGTGCGGCCACCGAGTGCTGAGGAAGGAAGCATATTCTTGACATGTGCAGAGTTCAGGATTACCCAACCCCAGAAGGATCGCGGGAACCCACTCTGGTGGTGGCTACTAAGCGCACGAGTCATGATGGTTTGGTGGCCATGTTCAGCGACACCATTCTGCTGGGGGGTGTAGGGCATGGTGACCTCATGTTCAATGCCACGTTCTGCCAGGTAGTGAAGGAACTCCTTTGATATGTACTCCCCACCGTTATCACTATGAAGACGCTTGATGCAGCCGCCAGATTGAGTTTCAATCCAAGGTGCAAATTTCTTGAAGAGCTCGAAGACTTCAGACTTCGCCTGCATAAGATATACAAGGGAATAGCGGGTGTAGTTGTCCATGAACACAACAAAGTAGGAGTCACCAGTTGATGAGGCAATATTAACCGGCCCCCAGACATCAGAGTGTATGAGTTCAGCTGCAGCAGAGGCATGACATGCAGTGAAAGGAAAAGGGAACTGTTTGTGTTTGCCCATGACGTAGGACACACAGTGGATCAAATCAGTGCCATCACCAGTATCAGCAAGTAGCGCTGGGTCAATAGTGAGTCCATTGACATGTTTACCAGCCTTTAGGACCGTTGAGAAGCCAGCATGGCTTAAGTGCCAATGCCAAGTGTGCAGGGACAAGGCAGGAGGTGGTGACTTAAGGAGTATGGCTGTAGCAGTAGGCATCAGGGGAGCGTATGTAGCATCAAGCATGTATAGACCACATTTGGGGTGGACATGAGCAAGTGGTGGTCCAGCACCGTCATTAGCACACAGCATGCCACCTGTCAAGGAAGTGATGAATGAGATGCGCTGGGATGCAAGGCACGACACAGAGATGAGGGTATAGCATAGATCGGGGACATGAAGGAACTCAAGGGCTTGTTCCGTCAGGGACTTTTCATACTGCAAGACAAGTTTAACAGTCCCCCAACCTGGTGCCAGGATGACATGGTTATCAGCGAGTTTCACACAGATCGGTTCATGGAGCTTTGTATAGTGGGCAAAACGTGATATATCAGGCTCCATGTGGGCCGTTGATGCAGAGTCTACATGAAAGGAACCCATAGGCACAGTAAGGGAGGATGAGATATTGGCAGAGTGCTCCTTTAAAGTGAGGATGAAGGGAGAGTGTGGCATGGTGTTTGCGTCATCAGGTTGGTCTGCTGTGGAGACTTCCATGTTAGTGGCAATAGCTGCAGGGGAAGAAATAGGTGTGGCTGACTTTGGGTTCTTCTTATCCTTCGAGAGGCGTGCACAGCATTGTAGCCAAATGTGTCCAGCCTTTGAGCAGTGCCCACATTTTGGGCGCCATCCAAGTACCCATCCATCCCCCTTTGACTCATCAAAACCTTTTTGGGGAACACAATCCCCTTTAGAAGGGCCATTTGAATTCCCCCGGTGCCCAGAGAACATGACAGTATGCTCTGTGCTGCCACTGTTACTTATGTGGTGGAGTTCTTGAGTCTTAAGGTGGTTGACAATATCGTTAAAGTCAAGGGTTGTGCTACTGTTGATAAGAGTTTGATGGAACAGATCATAGTAGTCAGGGAGTGCACGAAGTAGGATATGGACAAAGATAGCATCGGTGTAGGGACTGATTCCTGGCTAGCCTTGCAGAGACTGTTTTACCTAGTAGTATGTTTGCACCTTAGCTTACATAAGGAAGTTACCTTTTCACCAGTTCCACTATGAGTCTGAGTATTCAGCAAGTTTCTATCATATTTCCTCTCCTCTGAGCCTTGAGCCTGGTCCAGAAACCCTTTAGGGTCGAATAGCAGCTAGGTTCTGCAAGACCCAACACATTGTTCAGTATACACCATCTGAATTGTTGTACCCACATCGGGAACCTTGTACTCGGCTGAAGTTGGAGTGGCCGTGGTACTAGTTGTGGGTACAGGTATTGTTGTAGCTGCTGGGGGGTTGACTGAAAGGGCCATGAGGTTGGACCTTAGTACAATGAGACTCTGGAGCCTCCATGTTGTGAAGGTATATGAAGTCTCGAGTATCTATAGCTGTGGACAATGCGCTGAGAGCAAGCAACTAGCGCTGTTTGTACAACTTTACATGTTCATCATGTTTCTCTTTCCGAAGAATGTTTTGGTCCGGGTCAGAGAGTTGGGCAGGTGGTAAGGGCACCTTCTCATTGCCACTGATGTAGGGCCATGGCCCAAGCCCACCAGCCCACATTTTGAATCTAGTAGCCCATTGAGAATAGTTGGAGCTGTTGAGGGTAAGTTTCTCGTGTGGGTATTTCTCAGTTTTTGAGAGAGAGTCCGAAGATGACATCATGACGTAATGGCAATGTTTGATGGCAATATTAGAGGTGATATTTAGTCAATAATGAGTGACAGTTTCAATATTAGTTTGAACCAGTCAGGAACTGCAATGGGGAAACAAATGTTTGAGAGGTGCCAGTCTGAGTTGGAGAGATGTAAGATAGTGCCACTATCCTTTAAGCAGGGCTCATAACCCATAGGAAGTGAGGACTAGACACGAGCCTTAGTTACGGGTAAAGAGACTAGGATTATGCAGTGCTATGAACCTAGACACGAGCCTACATATAGTGAGTATAATGATATAGTAGAAAGAACAACAATACACACCTCAGTCATGGGTAAAGAGACTGAGGTGCGCCGACAGACATTGGACATCTTAAGTAGGAAAAATGGAGTCAGGTATCGTAGAATGTCTCTGATATATATATGTCACACATTGTCCTAACTGGGTGGTCAGGCAGATACCATCAGCCGCTCTTGACAGTTATCTTTGCATGGTTTGCATTCTGTTGACTTCTCCCTAATAACTGATGGAGGTCCTAGAATGCCCAGAGGGATGTGGTGAATAGAATCAGATAAAATATGGCATTGCAGAAGCCATAGTCTTATATAGGGATATATTGTTATCCTCTGTGACCAATCTTTGTCACAATAACCTGTGTCCAGCATTAGTTATGTGAATTTAGCTGTGTAAAACCTAAAACAGATTGATAAACATGCTCAATATGTTCACAGTATTCAGTTACCACACTTCGGAGCATTGTTGCTGGTTGTGCAGTGTATTTATGAATGCTTGATTAGTGAATATTTTATATCATATTTAGATAGACCCACCAGTCACATCAGGTTATATATACATCTACATTGTTATCCTCATTGAATAATGACAATCATGATGACCTATATTTGGCATTAATCAGATGAATCTAGGTAAGATAATACTGAAACTTGGTTTTAAGTATTAGCAATAATGTCCAACCTGATAGTGTATAGGACTTGCACGTCTGAATACTATCATGTGTCTGGCAGACAAAGTAAGTAAAGTTGTCTCATGTCTATACCAATGAAAAATACCAGACATAAATTAACTTATACAAAGTTTTTGATATCATGAGTCTTCCTTTACTAAAGTATAAAAGGCATGTTATGTTTTGCTATCTGTAGTGTAGATGGGTGTATTTAGTGTTAATTGGATGAATCTAGGTATGATAATACTGAAACTTGGTTTTTAGTATTAGAACTCACATCCAACATGATAGGGTATGAGACTTGCACATCTGAATACTGTCAATTGTTCTCGTGCATCTGGCAGATGAACAAGTAAAGTTGTTCCATGTCTATACTAATGAAAAATACCAGACATAAATCATTTTATACAAGGTTTCTGACACTATGAGTTCTTCCTTTACTAAAGTGAAAGATATGTTATATTTTGCTATCTGTACTATATGTCCCAGCACAAACAATTTGTTGATAACTTGCTAATGAATAACAAACAGGTCTTGTATCCTCAACTATACAATGCTGAATTTCCATCGCAATGTACAAAATATAGTGCACATATATCACAATGAATCAGGAATAAATCATGATACTATTGTTTGTAATTTTGCATAGCTCTACCTGCAGGACACATACAAATTACATAGTATGTACTACCTATATATGTAGCAAGTATTATATAGATGACAGAGAGAGAGGGGGGGAGAGGGAGAGGGAGAGGGAGATGACAGAGAGAGAGAGACAGAGATGGAGACAACAAAGACAGAGACAGAGATGATAGAGAGAGAGTGGGGAGATGGAGATGACATAGAGAGAGAGAGAGATAATAGAGAGAGAGGGAGATGACAGAGAGAGGGGGGGGAGATTAGGGCCATGTCTGAGCAACTGACAACTGTTTAACCCTTTGAGGGCGATAAACAGACACATACTTGCGACTGAAAACTTTGCTAATATATAATATAATATAATAAAGGATAAAGAGCAGTGGCAGGCTACTTACCAGTTCCACCATAGTAAAATATCATCTACTTTGTTTGCCACATCTCGTATTGGAGGAAGCTGAAAGAAATCAATAATATGGTTATAGAAAACTTCACTGTTGAAGTCATCATTCATGACTTGCCACGAGTTAGCACTGGACAAAGCAAAGCAAAAATAAGCTACCATGTTAACAATGTAAGGTGCCAATCAGACATTATATTTCATGCCTGGACAATGGCATATACAATTGCCCATGGTTGAGCGGATTTTATGTTGAATAGCCCTGCAACATCACAGTGTGTGCACTGCTCACTACTTGTCCAGATCCTTTAGTGCTTTGAATGTCCATGTGCAGAAACTTCAATAGAACTGGTCTGCTCTGGGTCATCACGCTCTGTAGAGGTGGGGGATGTAAATATGGCTTTAAATGTCTGTAGCTCGTTTCAGCAAAGTGATGATCACCGGCACAGTGAATCATACCTTTAATAGCATTTTCCCTTTAAATAGGCCACCTCTAGTATTCCTAGTGTCATAATGTTCATCATACAAGAACATTGGCCAAGAGTAAGCTGTCATCCTATAATCAGGGTTAGGCAACTGCACAGGTATGGGTAACCCGCATGGGTCCAGGGTCCGGGTATCCCTGGAGTAGGGGTAGGGGTAGGGGTCTGACATTAAGGCACCCGTACCCATACCCTTAGCCTGGGTTTTCAGAAGATAGCTAGTTACTGTCCATCAAATGAATGATATTCAGATGTACTATACAAGTCAAAATCTAATACAATTGGGCAAAGGCTGTCAAATTTTTCGCAAACCTATACTAGCAAAATTCACCCAACATCCACTCGCACAATGCAGTCCAACACTGAAAAATGAATCCCAAAGATCTCTGTCAAAGTGAAGGCAGCACTTGAAGAAACAACATCGAAGAAACAGAAGGCCAATTCCAATGGAGATAACGTGATGGTGCAGCCAAAGAAGGTGAAAAAGAACCAACATGCTGAAAGTACTGAGGCAACAGCACCCAAGAAGGTCATGGCATTGCCTAAAGATAGTGGCTCCACCAAGAAGGTCACAGCATTGTCTGAGGCGGCAGCTGCACCAAGTCGACGAGCTTTTGTGTGAACAGAGGAGGAGGAGTTACACAACAATGCAAATGATAGTGATATTGAACTTGTGGTGCCCACAAACGAAGAAGAAAGTGCTGGAGACAAGCTAAGTGTGGGTTTAAACCTATCAAAAAATGATATCAATTCATCAGACACCAACAGAACAACTCATGAAAGAGTGGAACTCACAAGTGTATGCATTCTTTCATCTGATTCCCAAGATTAGTGAGCAGAATGGGCGGCGAGTGCATGAAACCAGGTGCCAAGCCAAGGGTTGCAAAGCCACTGTGAGGCATTACCTTGATAAAGGTGATGTGTGTTTGACAGGAAACCTGCACAAACATGTGCACTTGTGTTGGGGAGAAGACATTTTGAAGGCTGCAGACAAAGTGAAAGATGTTGACAAGGTTCGGAAGAATATTGTTGGCAGTGTCCTACAAAATGGATCAATCACTGCATCATTTGAAAGAAAGGGTAAAGGAAAAATCACATACTCTCACCGTCAACATACCCATGCCAAAACAAGGTATGGTACTCTCAATGGTGTCTTGAGCAGGGCCTGACATGCTTAACAGAGCAGAAATTGTGCGTTGGGTGTCGGAAAACCTGCGTCCATTTGAAATTATTCACGATAGAGGGTTTTAGTCATTAATGAAGACTGGACAACCAGAATATTACTTACCGTCTCCTTCAACTGTCTTGCGAGATGTCCACCTCGTTTTTGCAAGGACCCGTCAATGCATCACTAAAATGACAAGTGTAAGCTTAGTTACACAATTATGATTGATTCAAAGACCAAAAAACGAACCAGGAATATGAAGGAAAGATTGACTTCAGTACTGATAGGTGGACCTCTCCAAACCATAGAGCCCTTGTGGCCGCATTGGCACACCTGGAGTTCAAAGGTGAACCACTGTGCTTGCTGTTAGATATAGTTGAAGTTTCAAAGGTAAAAATCACTTACAAACATTGAAGCGCTGATGCCAATATAATGGTCACAATAGTCGCATACCGGTGAACAACTTGCTTGCGCATTTCAGGGTGTCCTGGAAGATTTCGGAGCACATGAAAAGGCAAGCAAAGACTTGAACACTTAGGAAAATTCAAACTTACAAAGGTGCAGACTCTTTGTGTCACATGCGACAATGTGTCCAACAATGATGCTATGATTGATAAACTGACTGTTGACCTGCCAGATTTCAGAGGACGAGTGACACATATCAGGTGCTTCCTGCACACAGTCAATCTCATGGCAAAATCAGTGATCCACGAGTTTGATGTGACGAAGAGGAAGCAGGATAATTCCAATGATGATGAGGCTGCATTGATGGCAGAGGAAAGTCGACTGAAGGAACAACTTGAGGAATTGAGTGAGAATATCAAGCTGGAAGATTATGTGACCATCACAGAGATCGCAGGAGATGACAACAATGTGGGGGACAACACCAAGGGTCTGATCAATGCAACTGTGCTGCTGACGAGTGACGAACAAGAAGAACTACAAAATACAATAATTCTGGTCCAGTTAGCACTAGCGAAGATGCATTTATCACAACAATATAAAAAAACTCACAGCTGACCGCACATTGAATAGCTTCACAAACTCAGATTCAAAATCATCCACTCCACCACAAAGCTTCTCCCCACCTGGAACAACATCTTGAGTGAGTTGCAGATGAAGCCTAGCATGTTGCCAAGAGATGTGTTGACACACTGGAATTCCACATATGACATGTTGGAATACGCTCTGAACCATCGGAAGGCGATAGATGCAGTGTCGCAGAGATGCGAATTGGGATTGAGGGTGTTTGAGTTGAGTGATGATGAATGGAGTATAGTTGAACAACTCCGCAATTTGTTGAAGGTGAGGCCAACATCATGTGCACTGCATGGAGTTGTTTGATTTCGCTAACATAATTTAGATCCTCAAAGATGCTACCATGTTTTTTTCACGCTCAACACCAAGCCTTGCAACAGTGATCCCAGCAATGGATCTCATTGATGAGACACTCGCAACTCACATGCTCAACAAACAACTGCTTCCATTAATTCGCGCTGCTTCAGGACTCACCAAGAAAACTCTAAATCATTACTATGAGCTCACTGACAGATCTGATGTCTACCGCATTGCAATGAGTGAGCCCAATTGTATTTTATTTTCAGTACCTACCAACTAACTTATATTATAGTTCTCCATCCACACCACAAATTAGCTTACTTCCAACACGCAAAATGGGAGGAAGGTTGGATTGACTTGGCGCATATGCTAGTGCGCGCAGAGTTTGACCGCTTGTACTCGACTGACAATGCTAACGGGGAGATGGATGATGCGGGATATAATTCTGATGCCAGCATTGTGGCATCCTCAACTGTAAGTCCAATGATTTATTCTAGTACTACTCGCTCACTGACTGTCTTGTATAGAACATCTTTGATAACATTCCTGCACTCGCCCCACCAGTAAACAGTGACCTACGGGATGAACTCAATTGCTATCTCAGCACTAATGTTGAACATGTCAACAATGCACTCGCATGGTGGAATGAATGTTGCACACTCTACCCTCATCTTTCACGAATGGCACTAGATTACTTCACAATTCCAGGTGCATGTTTTTTGTTTGTTGTTGCTCATAATTTATTTTCCTTTACAGCAACATCTGTTGATGTTGAATGGCTGTTTAGCCGTGGTCATCTCCTACTCACCCATGTCTGTTCACGACTCTCTACCCAGACGATGCGTGTGATCCTATGTCTTGGCTATTGGAGCCAGCTTGGCCTCGTCAAGATGGAGGACATGCAGTCTGTTGCTGCTCTTGCTGATGTTCAAGGTGACAAGATGCTTATGGAGGATGGGTGGGATGATATTGTATTGTAGAATACATTGTTGAAATTTTGTTCCTACTGTAGGTATTTCTATGTGAGACCCACAGGTATACCCTCCAGGGGTAGTACCCCGGGTGTCTATACACTCTACCCACTGTGATACCCAATACCCCCCCTGCAGGTCCGGGTATATTTTCAGGTCCAGGTCCAGGTATGACTTTGGGCACCTGCAGGTTCACCTGTGTAGTTGCCTACAACTGGCACCTGCTAAAATTCAAACTCCGTGCTTCACCTGCCAAATTTCTCCAAGATTGACCAGCCTGGCTTCACCACTCAACTTGTCTGTGGTAATAAGCCAGGCTGGTCACGAGCCTAAGGCCCAATATAGAACTTAATTAAAGCTTACATAAACAAACTTCGGCCTAGTACACATACTAATGCACTGACGCAATGTCCCATACTGTGGTGTTCGTAGAACGTTCACATTGTTAGAAGCTAAGACACGAAACACGCTCAGTGTGTGAAGACAACGACTAATCATTGCTAGTACCTAAGACACAAAACACGCTATGAAGTTGTAGTAAGAGACAGCGGGAAGATAAGAGACAATGAACCATACCTCAGTGTGTGAAGACAACGACTGAGGTATGGCTGAACGAAGAAGGTGCGTATTATATATGTAATCCGTGTGACAAATATAAAGAAGGAAAGTGCTATGGACGATGACGAACGATGACAAAGAACAGTGACGATGACAAAGACAGGTACTCAAGACACATGTGAGAGTCAAAATAGTCGAATAGACTTAAGGCTTGAGCAGGATAACTGTCTGATACTAAGTTATATTTGGGGGGAAAAGATCAACTGCCCTACAAGTAGATATACATAGGTTTATATACTGTAGGGAAAGAATACTATGGAATAAGAGAGAACGAAAGAATATGGGTAACTAGAGGGAGTGATAATTCTAAATATCGGTTGATATCATCGATGTATCGACGACAGCTTTTGTCGAGCGTTACACATACCCTCAAGAGCCTGAGTCAATTCTACATACTTGTGATTATTTTCTCGGATCCCTCCTCCAACAGGGAACAAATAATTTGATTATATTTCATGTGTTCATACACTGGCCCTATTAGTATGTAATATATCCATACTAATTTCATGAAACTTCATCAAAGCCTAAATAACCGCCCCATGCCGTCCTACCCTCAAATCCACATACTACTTGGGATTATTTTCTCGAATCAGGCCGATAATCATGGCGCAAACGGTAAGGCTAGTATAAAGAAGGTTAGTGCAGCTGTCATGAAAAACACGCTGAATCGGGCACGAGTCGTGAAGCGAAAGTCGGATCATTGGAGTATTGCATGATCTGATCATCGGGCCTTAATGCCCACGCCGGTTCGAAGCGGCAATCGGTCAGCCAGTGACCCTGGCCGCTGCGCACAGATTATCGATACGGCAGGTGGATCACCTGTTATTTAAGCCCAAATCCTCATTCATTCACACTGATACAACTCCCCCATGGGTACTGCCGCGGCGGATAATACGTGCGTATCTTTCAACTTCACATATGGATGACCTAGTATAACTTGCGCAGTTTTGGAGCGTTCTTGATTGGGGTTGTAATCTCTGCCGTGTAAGTGCTCTTTTTGGATCAACAATGAGTGTAGATTTCAACTCGGATGTTGCAGGCTTTATGGAGGTGTGTTTTCGTGTGTGTGTGTTTTTGCATTGGTAGGAGCTCACAATCACACAAAGTTACTTGTGTGCAGACATGGTACTACTTTAGCTGGTATTTCTCGGATCCTTGGCACCACAAACTTATAGTAGGATCACGAAGGATTGATATGGCCATTCTCTAACATTATATAGGTCGGCGCTGTATTTGTATCAGACACAACCCATCAAGCTTTGATTACACATGCCTGTGAGTACCGGATATAAGACGTGTCTGTCTGTGAACTGAATATTGGTTGGTAGTGTATACGTACCTTGTCACTGACTTTGGCAACGCCAATGATCTCGAGAAAATTGTGTGGAGTCTATTGGTGGGTTGCGTGTGATAAGTGTACAATTCTCATCTAAATTTTTATTTACATCACAGGTTGAAGTTTTGTTCAATGGCTTCACGGGGTTTATGGTTCAAAGGTCGGTGCGATACTTTCGAATAGAATGATTCTCATTAATCGTTCTTTCAGCTTCCTCGCCAAGCGTGTCTACCATCGTATGTATGATCTCCCTGCCAGTGGACGGTTGCTTACTTTCAGCCAGTGAGCAACAAGAACGTGATTATAACCGCGTCCGTGATGTCAGTTGTCATCGCTGAACTTGTCATTGTTGTCAGTGAGTATGCGTTTTTGCTTCTCGTAAATTTGTCTACTAATGTGACATCCAAAGTATATGTTATAAAAGCGTGATTTGTGTCAGAAATTATCAAGTAGTAGTCCGCTGATGCACCCCTCTTCAGTCTCGAGTTGGCGACCTTCACTCAAGTTCGCCAGATCAAGTCATTGTCGATGTCTGTGAATGCTGTAGCAGCTGCCGTAGATATCCTTATCGCTGTTTTGCTCTGCACATTCCTCCGACGATCTCGCACTGGGTTCCGTCGGTCCGATACTATGATAAAGAAGCTCGTGCTGTTCACTATCAACACTGGTCTACTTACCAGTGTTTGCGCAATGATGTCATTTATTTCTGTAAGTAAAACATCACAAACGGCTCGTTACTTCGTTCCTGACCCAGATGTGGCACAGATTGTATTGTGGCCTGATACCTTCATATACATCGCATTCTATTTCTGCGTGGGACGTCGTAAGTACACTGCAGTCAAATCATGCTGTTCACGAGGTTAACAAGATCGTTCTCAGTTTACTGCAATTCCATGCTGGCAATCCTCAACGCACGCAAGGGTATCCGCCGTGATGGCGATGCTTGTAACGAGCACATGTCGACTTTGATAGATAGAGCCCTGAGACCTATCAACAGTCCCATCAGCTCATCGCAAATGGTGAGCTTCACGGATTCGCACAGTACATTTCTCATGTGCAAGCAGGAAATGCCGAACCACCTTTCAATTAAGCTAGATACCACGCAAGGATGCATTGAAGATGAGGTTAGTTATGTTCTGTACCAGCTCTGTGATCCAATACTGATTTATATGTACGCCGCTTTCTATCCGTGAAGGACCTCAAAAGGGCGCAGTCAGTTTAATTGCTATACTACGGATGAGAATCGCCAAATGCGCCGGCTCTCACTCCTAGAAGAGTAAGCACGCTGTGCCTTTCGCATACATTCGGTGGTATATTCTTCACTTAGACTTAGTATGTATTTTATCAGAACACACCCGGCAGTCTTCACTTGTCCATATTCAATACAAGCGGTGACCTTCAGTTGTTGCTTTAAAATTATTACAAACGCAGACTTTTGTACACTATATTTGCACCAATTTTCTTCGTCTCCTCTAGAAACTTGACGGCTTTTGACACGGGACATATGGTTGACCAATGAGCAAAAGGATCTGTTCTGAAATCGAGAACTGTGCGAGAAAGTGAAACCTTGGCAGCCTTTGAGAGTAGTCGCAAAGGAATCTGTTTGCGTTTCACTGTCCAACAGGAGTAGTAAGGATGAAAATAAAACGTGATTCGTGGTTCTTGAGCTTTGTGGAGAGAAGAAAGCACATTCGAGGCAAGCGCGAGCCCGTTAGCCAGTATGTGCGCCGAGAAAAGAAAAGCGAGAGCTTCGTCAATGTCTGTTTCACAGCCACGATCAGAATAGGCCCCAACGCACGATTGCCATCACCGAGAGGTTCTATTGGTTCCTGTGAAAATAACATGAGAAACTCGAGTGAGACAACAGTGGGTAACAGGAGGACAGTGAATATCGTTTGCATATAGAGGTGAAATGTGAGTAGGAGTGCCATCATCGGTCACTGCAGAGCTAATCATGGCGTTAGATCACTCCAAATGCTACCGTCAAGTCACCATCAGGTAGAAACAATGTAGCTGTTATTGTCGTATTGCCATAATACCTAGATCCATTTTGGTTAGCAACCAATTCACTGGAACGAAAGAACGAAAAAGGAGCAATGAAAAGTGGTAACAGAATGTGAGCTTGCGTCAGTGTTGTACGGCGTGCTGGAAGGTGCAGATGGTATCCATGTATGGCTGATAGTGTCGTGAAACGCAATGGAAGAGCAACTTGGAGAGGGAGGCACGCAAATAGATTGCAAATGAGCAGCACAGCAGGACGGGGTAGATACAGTTGATACCGAGCTAGCGGCTACTCGTGCTTACAGTATAGGACCGGCATTTGAGCCAGCACTGTCATTTGAGCCAAACAGGTACTACACACTCAACATCCCTTTATCGACAGATCGGATAGCATAGATATAATCAAAATATATGTATCTTGCATACTGTCGAGTAGAAATTTTTAAAAAATGGTGCGTGCATGCTACAGGTCAGAAACATGCTCTCTTTCACCATCAATCAATACAGTAAGAAGGAATTGTTCATCTATCAGTGTCAGAAATCCCACCAAATGAAAGATTTATATCCATAGTACAATTTCGGTACAATGAAATATGCCCAACACACAACAGTATGCTGCCACTGGGATTTCGGACGAGGGTCTCAAAATCCATTATCAAAGAGCACAAGATAGTGAAACTAACCTAATTTCGACTTTCATTTCCGGGCTCAACAAACACCGTCCGCACTCTATAATTCTATATTAGGGCTGGCTCAACTGATGAAAAAAACAGATAACAGGACATTTCACTGATCCTCGCATTGTGCACCCATCATTTATTCGATTGCTCTGTAGTGTTGCAATCCCATGGTCATCATATATCTAAACATGACTGTCATATCAAAATTTTAATTTTTGCACAAGTGTTGACTTGAGACGGCCAAGAAAATTCACTGGCTCAAATGCCGGTCCTATACTGTATATATCTTAGACTAAGTCACTCACGCCGATATGCAGTAGCTCGCTCATCCTCGTCCGACTCCTCATCGTCGAGCAAGCTCGACGGCGTATCAGTGGCGTCATTTACTGTAGTGCGTGCCATTTCTATGGTGGCCTCCACATACCCAGCAGGCTTGCTCAAAATCGACTTGATAAACGCCTTGGTTGGCTTGGACCAGAGAGTCGCCGAAAATGAAAATGGTTTCCCCGTCAATTTATTGAGAACCTTCGGTAGTTTGATGGCCACTTTGCTGCGTGATGCGGACAACACATCCTGAACCTCGAGTTGTTCATTTTTGAACAACCCAAGGGCACGCTCGATCTTAAAAAAAAATCAGTGCCGAATAAGCCATTTTAAATTGAACTCACCGCTACAGCAGAGAGGGCGAGAACCCGTGACATCCCGCTCGTCACAAGCTCATGCATGTCGAAGGAGGGAACCTCCACATACCCTTTGACGGCGTTGAGGTGTGCCGTGCCAAGCAGCTGTAAGATGAAGGGAGAGCGGTAAGCTGTGAGAGGAGATGGACTATCAGGGTTCTCATATAAGAAGGCCCAATCGTGGACAAGGGACGTTGCCAGATCGCTAGGAGCGAATTCGGAATTACGTGTCATAAAGTCCATGATAATGGCTATGGCTGTTGAGCCAAAATTACTGCGCCATTCTGAGATGCGCTGTGCAGTCTAATGATAGATATAGTATTAATAATTAAAATTAGATATAACAGGGGACTTACAAGCGAATGTACCACACCATTGTGAACGAGGAAAATATTAAGATCTTTGTATACTGCGTCGAAAATAAGCTGAGCGTGATGGAGAAGAACCTCGTCTGGGATAACCCAGATGTCTTCATAACTTCCAGCCCACAGCATTATGGTAGGGAGATATCTCTTCGTCCAGCGCTGGTCTGCTTGCATGGCTGCAGGTAAGTCAACTGTACGATAGGCGCCACGTGCTTTCATGTGCTCCGGCGTAGTGTCCACCGGCACATTTTGTTGGCGTTTGAGCTTGGCAGGTACACCGCGAACACGTGCAGCAGAAGGCTCGATCTTGGGCTTTTTTTGAGCAGGAGGCTGACTATCAGCGCTGTCAGCAACAGAAGTGGTGACAGACGTCTGTACAAGTGTCAAAATGAGTAATGATAGAGTCATGATCCTTACCGAGGTTGTTGTACGTGAAACCTTCTCCTTTTTCACCACAATAGGTTCAGGCTGAGACGATTCATCAGCACACATGATCGGGTCGTCGACGCCTTCAACTTCCATAGACCAATTGGACACCACAGCCTCAGCCTCTGACACCTCATCTAAGACAAGAATTTCATTAGCTTTGCGCTTGCAGGATTTCAGATTTGGTGCCTGCGTGAACGGAGCCCTAGGCTCCGGCGATAACACAAGCTCCGAGTCATCACATTGTAGAAGTCCTTGGCCCACCTGAGGCTCATCAAAGTCGGAGTTTTCATCAAATACTGAGACGACCTGCTAAGCAAGGAATTAAAGGCTAGCACCAACATATCACTGCCACTTACCTTAGTTTTCCCTTTGTCTTGCTTCTCCTCTGCGCAAGTAGCCTCATACTCCAACGAATCACCAATTTCATCTCCAAAGGCACCAGTAAGGACATTGTCAGCCACGTGTTTGGTTTGAGCCGCAGGAATCGGAGTCGGGGGCTGAGTGGCCGAAGTTGCTGCAGAGGAAGCAGTGTTGTGTGAAAAGATAGTAGAGGGAGGCTCTCGAGTCGAAATGCTGGATGTACGGGATGATGGTTCCGACTTTCCGAGCTTGACTCCTGAAACCCAGTTGGTCACTCGGCCACCTAATGCGAGTTTCTGAGTGGTCGCATTGATACTGGAAGTAAGATTAAGGAAAAACAAAGTTGATTCGGTGAGGAGCAACATTGTGTGGTAGTATTAGCTGACCGTTACATGTTCATATATCAGGTCCAATATAGAACTTGATGAAAGCTTAAACAACTTCGGCCTACTAGTACACGTGCCACTAACGACGGTTACATACTTGTAAGTTAATTTCTCGAATCCCTCCTCCAAGTCGGCCTTGAAGCTTGAAGCTTGAGGCCATCCTAGTCCACGGTGTCCGTCTCGATCGCTGCCTCCGGGCCGATCATCATGGTGCAACTAAGGCTTCTTTTTAGATATAGTAACGTTGGCGCAACCGTCCGAGTCACGGTTGTAATGAAAAACGCACTGAATCTGTTGCACAGTCACGGTCAGGTGATTCACCCGCAGGATTGATGATCCGTGCTCAGCGGCGAGGGTCACTGTATCACGCCAGAGAAGAATTCTCTCAGTTGCAGAGAAAAATCCAAGTTGAGTTACCAGGCTCACTTTCTGTGAATGAACGTTTTGATATTGAATCCAAGCATGGGGCTCACGCTGGATATGTCTTCCCCATTGATCTTTTCTAGGATGTGGCTGACCGGTTACCGTTGAGAACGGGTGTGGGATTAAGGCATCATTTAATTACGCCAATGATCCGACCTTCGCTTCACGATCACTGGCAATGGTACCTGGTATTTAAGCCCTTTGAAATCTTCATTCATTCACACAACTCCCCATGGGTACTGCGGATAATACGTGCGTATCTTTGAACTTCACATATGCATGATCTAGTATTTGAACTTGCGCAGTTTTGGAGCGTTCTTGATCGGGGTTGTAGTCTCTGCCGCGTAAGTGCTCTTTTTGGATCAACAACGAGCGTAGATTGAAACTTGAATGTTCCAGGCTTTACGGAGGTGTGTTTTCGTATATTTTTTTGGCGCTGGTAGGAGCTCACAATCCCACAAAGTGACTTGTATGCAGACGTGGTACTACTTTAGCCGGTATTTCTCGGATCCTTGGTACAACAAACTTTTAGTAGGTTCACGAACGATTGATATCCGCCATTATCTCTAACATTATATAGGTCGGCGCTGTATTTGTATCAGACACAACCCACCAAGCTTTGATTACACACACCGGTGAGTACCAGATGGAAGACGTGTCTGTCTGTTAACTGAATATTGAATGGTAGTGTACACGTACCTTGTCACCGACTTTGGCAACGCCAGTGATCTCGAGAAACTTGTGTGGAGTTTATCTGTGAGTTGCGTGTGATAAGTGCCCAATTCTCATCTGACATTTTCATTTGCATCATAGGTTGAAGTTTTGTTCAATGGCTTCACGGGGTTTATGGTTCAAAGGTCGGTGCGATACCTTTCGAATAGAATGATTCTCATTTATCGTCCTTCCAGCTTCCTCGCCAAGCGTGTCTACCATCGTATGTATGATCTCCCTGCCAGTCGACGGTTGCTTACTTTCAGCCAGTGAGCAACAAGAACATCATTGTAACCGCGTCAGTGTTGTCCCTTGTCATCGCTGAACTTGTCATCGTTGTCAGTGAGTATGCGTTTTTGCTTCTCGTAAATTTGTCTACTAATGCGACATCCAAAGTATATGTTGCAAAAGCGTAATTTGTGTCAGAAATTATCTAGTAGTCCGCTGATGCACCCCTCTTCAGTGTCGAGTTGACGACCTTTAATCAAGTTCCCCAGATCAGGTCATTGTCAATGTCTATAAATGCTGTAGCAGCTGCCGGAGATATCCTTATCGCTGTCTTGCTCTGCACATTCCTCCAACGATCTCGCACTGGGTTCCGTCGGTCCGATACTATGATCAACAAGCTCATGCTGTTCACTATCAACACTGGTCTAATTACCAGTGTTTGCGCAATGATGTCCTTTATTTCTGTACGTGAAACATCACAAACGGCTCGTTACTTCGTTCCTGACCCAGATGTGGCACAGATTGTATTGTGGCCTGATACCTACATTTACATCGCATTCTATTTCTGCGTGGGACGTCGTAAGTGCACCATAGTCAAATCATGCTGTTCACGAGGTTAACAAGATCGTTCTCAGTTTACTGCAATTCCCTGCTAGCAACCCTCAACGCACGCAAGGGTATCCGCCGCGATTCTTGTGACGAGCACCTGTCGATCTCGCTACATAAAGCTCGGAGACCTATCAACAGTCCCATCGGCTCATCGCAAATGGTGAGCTCCACGGATTCGCACAGTACATTTCTCATGTGTAAGCAGGAGATGCCGAACGACCTTTCAATTAGGATAGATACCACGCAAGAATACACTGAAGACGAGGTCAGTTATGTTTCATACCAGCGCTGTGATCCAATGCTGATTTGTATGTACACCGGTTTCTATCCGCAAAGGACCTCAAAAGGCCTCGGTCAGCTTAATTCCTGTGCGGATGAGAATCACAAAATGCGCCTATCTCATCAGCTATTACTCCTAGAAGAGCAAGCATGCTGTGCCTTTGACAATGTGCAATTCATTTGGTTGTATATTCTTCGCATAGACTTAGTATATATTTCATTCCAATTCATTAAAACTAACTCAACACACTCGGCAGTCTTCACTTATCCATTCAATACTAGTCACTCACACTGATACATGTAGCTACACAAATAATGCTTTCACAGAATGTATTTGATTCCAACGTGTTCGGCCCTTGAAAATGGAGCAGCGATGGTACAGAGAAGAAGCAATCACATGGATCTCAATACTACCATTGGCGCTTATACAGAATCGATTTGGCACAACACGATGAAACGCGAATTGACGCGTTTAATTAGTTGATCAATTACCAAAAACGCGCTTGTCACAGCGTGACGCGTCACGCATGCCAGGGTGTTGAAGCCGTTCTCAGATTACAGCAACAAATAGGCTTAAGCCGGCATCGGCCAACACGCTCGTTGACCGCAAACGCCAACATGTCCGCCATGGACGTAGACCAAATTTCTCCAGATCCATCTCCCGTCAACCCTATAAAACGCGCTCCAGTCACGTACGGAAGGCGTAGGGACCCTCAGCCTGAAATACGCGACTCTTCTGTGACACTCACCGACCGCAGCTCTCCTCGTGTAGAATCGGAGCCCTTAGGCGGTAAGGAAATCGAATCCACCCATGAATTGGCGCTCGATGCGCTGCAAGGCTCACAATCCTCTTCAACGACTTGTATAAACGATAATGACATGGTCGATGCCAGTTCTAAACATCACTTTGGCTGGAGAGCCCAACTGAAAGCGCTAGATGAAGCCTTCGATAATGATCAGGAGCCACTTGCACAGCCTCGAGTTGCTGAACGGTCGTCATTGTCGCCACCCTTTCAACCTCAATCCTTTGCAGACAAACAAATTATTCATGCGGATGCCACGCCTCTTTCTCCAGTACCACAAAATTCCGATGGGTTTTCTGATGGTACACTGTTGCCCCCTACAAGCGACCCATCTGCCTCCCCAATTGATGAGTCTCTTGAAGATTCACCGATTATTTCTCGCAAGGTCAGACGTTCGAGGAATTGTATCGACTCTGATTCCGAGCGTGAAGAGTCCAAAAATTCCTCCTCGGTATCGCCTGTTCACCATCCAATTAACACTCCTCTGCTGCGATCTCCTCCCACACCTTCGACATCAGAATTGGAAATGCCTTTAACGAGGCCCAAGGCTAATAAAGGCAAGGGGAAGGCACCTGCTCGGGATGTCCCTCCGCTTCGTTTTGAGAATGAATCAGTTTCTACGAGTACCACATCAAAGAAGGGTAGCAAATCCAGGCGGAAGGACGAATCGGCACGCCTCAAAATCAAGGTAGTCTGACCTCTCTCGCACCTATTCCATTTCTCACACATACGACGCATAGGCTCCGACTAAAAAGGACCTGCGCGAAACTGTTTTGGAGAGTTCGCGGATTACTGCGAGCAAGAATGTCCAGGTGGTGCGTACTGAGCAATCAAAGTACACCAAACATCGACTTTTTGAGCTGGTCAAGTGGGTGACACCAGGTTTTTGTCCAAGAGAATGTTGCTGACTTTGGCCAAGGGATGAAGCCTTGCGTAAGGAGCAAAAGCAGCCTGAGCTCCCCTCAGATCCAATATCTATTTTTTCCTCGCCTTCCGTACTACCCGTTGCTGAAGCACGAAAAAAATTCGCGCAAGGCGAATCTTCATTCGGCGTACCTTCACGTTTACTTGGATCTTCTACTATTGTTCATCCCCGTGCACAAACTCCTCCCAGAAATCTGCCACGGCGTGCAACTTCCCAGCCACCGTCAATGGCATCTGATAGCACTGACGAAGAGATGCCAAATCTTACCGACCTACTGAGGCAAGAGCAAGCCAAACGCAAGGAAGCTGACGACAAACGTGCTCTCGCGGAGTTGAAGCAACGAGCCCTTCAAGACGCAGCTAGGCGGTCATCTAGGGCCGGAGATAGCGACGATGATTTAGAGATTGTTGATAACAGCATGCATGTGACAGCCCAAGAAGAGGCGGCGAAACGCAAAGCCGACAAGTTGCAACACATCACTCCCTCGAAGGGGAAGGCGAGGCAGCTTGCGTTGAGCCGGAAATCCATGCCAGGATCGTCAGGCTCTCGCGTAAAATCTTTTGCACAAGCCAACATGTCCGAGTATCTCAGGGACTCCGCGATGTCGTCATTCGATCGGAAGGGAAGGGGCAGGGACAAAAAGGTCCCACTCACCACACAGCAATTAAACAAAGCGCTCATACAGAAAGCTGAGGCCAGCAAGCTTGCGACAATTCAGCAGCGAGAAGAGGACTGGAAACAAAGAGGAGGCAGGATATTAGAAGAGCCTGTAGAAGCTGGGGAGAACGTATCATTCAGAGACAGGCTTGATGTATATGTGCAGAAGGGGCTTCAAGTGGCAGAGCGCGATGACTCTACTGTTGGCGACATGGAAGTAGACGACACGGACGAGGACGATACGGATTATGCTCCCGAAGAGCGGGGTTCTGCCAGTCCAGAGCCCATGGATACTGATGGCGAGGGCGACAACGATCGGGAGAACCAACCAAGTCTCGATGTCAATGATGATGCAAACCAACAGACGGACGTTGAAGATGAGGAGCGCCAAGTGCACAGGCGCGGTATTCGTCGTCCTCTAATGGTGGCTTCCGACGACGAGGATGATGCTCCTAGAATTCTTGTGCCAGATTCCTCGATGCAAGACTTGACCTCCGACACCATAGTGACACGTAACTCGGAATCAGACCAAACAGAGGACGAGAATGACAAAGAGAACAGTCAAACGTTGATGTACGACAGAAGCGAGGATAAAGAAAATAAGGCTGTCGTTCGACACTCGCCTTCATTCGCCAGACCTACCTTAGGCAGTATACCGGGGTCCCTTGTTGACGTCGATGATGCTGTTCACCTGAGATCATCGTCCTCGACATCGTTGGGAGGTTTCGGTGGTCCCTCTGATTCACCCGAACATGATTTACAGCGTTCGCCATTGAAGGAGATTGCTCAAGATGACTCGTTATCGGGTTCCCCAAGCTCAAAGTCCCCGTTTACCACCAGACTCCTCCAATCTACGTCAAAACATCCGACATCCCTACCAGGAGAATCGTTTTCCGACATTGAGGACGAGGAGAACATGGTTAAGGGTTTCGAACCCCGCACACTACTACCTTCCTTTTCTGAAACCCTCGGCAAGAGCAGTCCTGCATCCTTTGTACCTCGGGATCCTCTCGCAAACGCAGGAGGTTTTTCGCAATTTTTCTCAGATGAAAAGGTTTGCAATCTTTTTCGTTGTAAGTCAGTCTAGAAAATGATGTGTAGTGGTTATTACAGGATGAGGGGCCCAGTTTCAAGGAGGGGAACTGCAATGAGCTCGCTTTGTCACTTGATATTGGACTGGAGCCCGCACTAGAAGTCAGCAGTACCCTGCGCAGGAAGGCTGACAATATTTTTGAAAAAGAACAGGAATATGTTATAGAAATCGCAAATGGCGATCAGAAGCAGGATAATAACCCTGAATGGTACATCCGAGAGAACGGGTGAGTCTATCAGAGTGGCATCTAATTCATTCCTAGAAATTTTGTTCGCCCTCAGGTTCTTGACTCAGACATCGGGGCCTAATGCTGAACAATATCGTGTCAAGTCCTTGCAGATGTCACCACTTCTGGCATCTCAAACATTGATGGGTGAATTAATTCCGTCGTCGAGTGAGCGCGCCCCACTCCAAACATTGTCCTTCAAGGCAAGGCAAGAATCACCGGATGTACAACCTCTTTATCGACTGAGGCGGCGCAGTAGCTCGCCATTGGAGAGGAAAACCGCCATGCAAGACGACGGCTCCCTTCTACCCCCTCTACTAATCTCTCAGCTGCCCAAAAGAAATGCGTTTGATGTCTTGGGAGGGCATCCAAATTCCAATGCGCCCAAACGAAAGCTGGAGAAGTCTGAATTCGTTGCTGCGGAGGCCGAGGAATCAGACGAAGACGAACTGATTGGCTTCGGGCCTATTCATAAAGACGAGGAGGAGGCAGAGGACGATGATGATGATGACGAGAAATTTGTGGAGGGTCTTGTCGATGATGCGGTCATGAATGCCGAGACAGAAGCGGCCGATTTGGTCCAGGAGAAGTTCAGGTGCGCATTCAAGGTAGACTATTGAGACAGCCAGCTGAATTATACATAGAGAGCACGAGGACGAAGATGACAAGAAATTGGAGAAGCTTCATCAGGATGCTATTGATGGTAAATTTAGAATGAAGCGTCGCGACCGTGGTATCGGTTTCGAAGAGGATAGCGACGATGACGAGGAGGACGAGAATAACAGGCGAATACGACGGGGTATGAACAAGAAGCGCAAGATTGATGGTGATACTCTCGAAGATCTAGGTAAGTGGTACAATCGTTAAACCTCCAATTTTGAAGCCGACGTGTCTCCCTCCATAGGTCGAAACCAAGAAACAAAAGCATTCTATGATGCATATCAGCATGAGTTGATTGATGACGACCTTGAGTTCGTCCATTTGCAAGCAGATACGCGAATGGTTAGCGAAGATGAAGATGAGGAGACGGGGAAAGTGGTAACGACCGAAGATCTGAATGCTGAGCTAAGGGAAGCCGCAAGGAATAGAGAGGTAAGCCGTACGGCGCATTTTCTACCTTTGCTATCACTGATCTTGGGTAGACTTTTGAATCTATGGATCTGGAGGACACGTCATGGATCGACGGGGCGGACGAGGAGATCGATCACCATGTGCCTGTCAAAGTGATGGTAGAGCGCTCCAACAATGCACCTGCAAAACGACCTGCACTGTCCCACACTGACTTTGGTCTGGAGGTCTGTTCTGCGCTTGATGAAATTGAAATTCATTGTAATCTGATAATCTCCTTTCATAGCGCCCAAACCGGATATTGGAGAATGACCAAGAGAAAACAAAGTTACGTTCATGGGCAAGAGGTCAAGGCGGCGGCAACCAGGGGACTGGTCGGTCTGTTGTCGGTGCAGCCATTACAGGACACGCCAAGGCTAAAGTCAAGGCGGGCGGCGGTTCCTTGAGAACAACCCAAGCGGCCAGCGGAAGCAATTCTGTCTCAAGCGCACCTGTTCCTCGCAGACTGGAGAAGGGGCGAAGTATGCTCTCCAGTGTGTCCGATAGGAGTAATCGATTTGCGTAGTATCTGGCTTTAGCATCTTGATTCATGTTCAATCCTATGCCTTCACCATTGTTGTTCCGCCAAATGTCTATTCTGTACATTTATTTTCCACCTGTAATAACATCACTGAAAAGTAAAGATGCAAACAAAGAACACGTATGTTCACAAAGCAAAAGTGTGGATGGAAGGCGAAGGGAGGCATGTACACCCAGAAAAAGATGAACAAGGTAGATATCTAAGATGGGTATCGCGGAGATATAAATAACGGGCGATAAGGCTCTACAAGACTCGGCCCAGACATTAGAAGTGTCAAATGATTGAAGATGCTTGTAATTTAGTGATATTGATGTCCAAAATTTCTTCCAAAACGAACCCAGGACGCGCGCGGGCGAGTGGGTTGGATGAGTGCGATATTTCGTGATTGGCGTGAGAGCGTCGGGGATCTACGTTTGCGTGTACCCGTCTGAATCTTTTTTGAAAGGGTGAGCTGGCGAAAAGCGAAGGTAAACTGAATATATTCACTTTATGCCTCAACATGATAAGTTTGGCCATGCACGCTGGAGGTCCTGATTCCTTGAATGGATTGCCTGGAAACATTTGAAAAGGCAGCTGATACGGCTCAAGAACAGAACTTACGGGACGCGACGAGAGCTAAACCTGACTCGTGGGCATCGAGGAGGTCGTCACCAGCCATGATCGACCTTCTGACTACAGGTGAAAATAGACATAGCAGGATAATAGCGGAGAGAAAGGTGACGAGAAACATGGAAAACATGGCCCTAATATTTAATGGAAGGCTGAAGAGCTGCGCTGAGCACCAGCAGGGGCTACGCGAGCGTCACGCGTCGTGAAAGAGAGCGGGAGGGAAATAATAGAAGACGGGTTGGGGGATAACAACCAGAAACTTGTTAAAGGCTTCGATCGACTAAAGTTGCTCAGAGAACATAATGCTTAGTCATCAAAGGGACGTACAAATTATGATGCCGGCATATTTGGTCACCATGATCAATTTGTGATCAATAAGAAGTGCTTCAGGTTGTTCTCAGTGTGCGACATGGCCGAGCTGTTGTCAACGGCCACAATCACAGCGACGGGCCTTCTTTGCAAAGCATTTCTCAACTCAGGGCTTTGCTCCATCACCGTTAGCAACCTCCATATTCTTCTGAATGCTCTACGGAACGACGAGAGGCGGCGACATGGACAGGGCGTAGTAACAGGTGTGCCTCATAATTCGTCTTGGTCAACGCCCACTCATGCACGTTTAGTTGCGAATCATATTTCCACGTCCGTCTTTCGAGCTTCTCACGCGAACACCCATACTGAGAGTTGAGCCTGGACTGCCACAGACTAGACGATCCACTTGCGTGGGGAACGCTCCCAATAGAACTCTACTTGAACTCCAATACAACACGGTGGTCGCTTGGCGCGTCGGAGATAATGTTCACCACCCCGTATGTTGTACGGAGATAGTCGGAATGTGATAGGCGACTGAATGTAAGCTTCGGCCAGGAAGTCTGTTCTCCGCTTTCTTTCGTAAGGGTCAGGTGTTGGAGACATTTCGCGGAAAAGGAATCTTCCAACCTTCCGTAGATATCGCCATCAAACGACTTAATGAAGGGCATTGGGTGGGTGCCAGGCAACCTGACTTCTTCTGTACCCGCATTAACAGATCTCAGGTGCATCTTTTTGGAGAGGGGAAAATCAACCAACCACCCGACTATCCGCGGACAAACGGTGTCGCTCGCTTGCCGCGGTTCAAATGGGGAGTGTAAGTCATTCTTTTCACCCTTTGAACATCTGGTCGTCACACTTGAAACGCTCAGTGGTCGGATCCTGATGGAAACTGCAGTTCCCCCTCTCATCATACCGATGTGGCTCACTGGTATGGCATCTGGAACCATTGGTGCGCCGTCTTCTCTAACGTGATGTTAGGTTTCGACAAATTGATGCCCGAACACCGCTCGTCCCCTTGCAAGTACTTTCCAAGATTAGGTGTCAGACTTGGCGTGGCGTTTGGCGATCCGATACCGGTTGAAGAAATAACAGCTGCATTGAGTGCGCGCTCGTACGTGCCACTTATCAGGGAAGATGGTACGAATTCGAAGCTTAGCAATGAGCTTTGTCCGGGCGGCTGCGTTGGCCGCACAGCGCACAAACGACATATGGACGTGGCGCGGAGCGATGTAACTGCGATCATCCAACGAGCGGTGGAAGCTTTGGGTAGACGAGTTTCTGGCGACCTTCTCGACGACTCTCGTTCATAGTTCAAGGGAGCTATTCATTTACGCAACAATCGTGTATGGTAAAGACAGTTGACACTCGGATTCACGAGCAACGAATATATACTGGTTTTACAATGGCATGTAGGGCGTGATTTCCACAAGACAGACAATATATGCGCGAAGAATCTAGGTGTGGGTTTCAAGTATCTGTGGCAGGCTGTCCCGGACAAAGTAGCAAACTACTTAAATCAGATTCTCCCGTGTAGTACCAGGTACAAAGCACCTAAACACATTGAACTTCTGCTACTTTGAGTGGAGAAAAACTCACCATCATGGCATAAAATGACAACAAAATGAATCCCTCTGCCCAGTTTGTTTTACTGTCGGCAGTTACGAAATTGACAAGGAAGCAGGCACCTAGGAGTAGTGCGACTTCAAAGAAATCTGACGGGCTCTTCAGCTTTAGTGGCAATAGCATCAAACTCGTCAGTAACGCACCAAATAGCAAGTTGAAAGGCTTTCCGGTGCACCAGCCGAGCAGAGTTAGGAACGGCATCCAGAGCAAGACGAACTGAATGCTCAAGTCAATGGCTTCAGCTTTAGCCAGAGTATTGGGTGGTTCAGGAGCCTCAGTCTTATACCATACTCGGCGAGAAGCCTTCTGCAAAAAGTAGCCTGCCGCAACAGCACCATCCGCTGAGAAGGAAACGAAGGGAATGAGGACCAAGCCGAACCACTCCTCCGTGATGTTGGAAACATGCCTCACAGGCTCGATGCTGTCCACCAACTGTTGAAAGTTAATAAATGTAGACCTAGTCGTTCGACGACACTTACCCACTCCGAGGTCACAGCCACAACCGCGATGTTAACAATCAGAGCGCCGATGCAGACCCATTGGTTAACGTCAGGCTCCTCTTCTTGTAGTTTTGCTTCATAAGCCTTGAGCTGGGCGGGTGTCAAAGAATGGGTCAACGAGTTGTTTCCGGCACCAGGAGGGTTGTGATAGAAAATCCGCGAACAGATGTATCTGACAGCAGGCTTTGTGACAAATCTGATGCAAGAGAAGGAAAGGAGCCTACATAAGAAGGAGTAACACTGCAAGCCCTCTGCTCATGGTCAAGAAGTCGGTTTGGGTGCTACTACCAAGGTCTGGGAGCTCGCCGTTGGCCGATACACCACTAGAAGTACTACCACTTATAGCTGCATAGAATGAAGCCGGCAACAAGAGGGCCAACACTCTGTGCATGTAAGAAGTTGTCCTCATAACTCCGGATGATAAGAAAAACGTACCCAACAGTAAGCAAGGTATGGTTGAGTTGTGTGTGGGCAGGGTGGAGGTCCTGTTCCCATATTCGAGCACCGCCTGTCAAAAAAGCGGCTCCAGGAACAAGGAGGAGGTGCAATAGGACCACACCTGCAAGATAATGATGTGGTTTGTCAATAAGTAGTGTGAGATAAAACTGATATTTTCGGATCTTACCGGTGATGGTCGATTGAAGTAGCTTGAGCCTTGTAAAGTAAGTTTGGATCACGCCGATGATTGCATGTTAGCTAACGGATTACTTACTCGCACTTGAGCAGGAGTATGATAGCCAGGGTGACCTCGACCGCACTGCTATTGTTTAGGCTGTGAACATGAAATGGAAGAGAATTTGGCTTACTTGTTCAGAGTGATCGTGATCAAGTCGCCAAGATCCTTGCCGCAATACAAAGCCATCTGTTCACCGCAGTAGTCGAACAAGCACTCGTGTGGTATAATTGTCAAGAAACAAACTACACAAGAAAATGAGCGCTGCTGATGAATCAATCGGGGGACGACATACGTGAAAAGACAGCAGTATGATAATCGGCCATATTTTCGTCAAAATGCGCCCACCATGCTACAGGTGTCAGGAGGAGTAGCAGATTGAGCCCTGTGAAAACAATGAGGTACTTGACCACATCGTACGGGCGGCGGAGACGCACATGAACATCCATATATTTTCTTAATGCTCTGTATGACGCCGACAGGCTTCTTGCCTCTGCGGAGGAAACGGTCGCAGGTGGTTTTGAATCTCGGTCTGAGAGGCTCGCCAGTCTCAAGATCCTGATGATTAACTGAAGCGAGTTCTGTGGCTGAGAGCGGTTCGGGTGAGAGTTGCACACTACATTCCTGAGAGATGATTTGATTGCTAGTGTTTTGTCGAGTATGGGTAGCCCTACGTTCTGCCATGGACTAAGGGATATGGAATTTGAGTAGGGTGTGATCCTGGTAAGTTATTATAATACAGGGCACGAGTTGTGACATGGTAAACGCTGGTTATGTGAAGCTCGGAGTCGAGAGACAACATGCCGGGGAACATGGGCTTGGCGCGATCAATCATTGGGTGGCACTGGTAACGGTTACATGATATTGTGTCCACTCGGTTCACATCGCTCGGTACAGGAGCGGGCGATTCGGACAGTCACGATTAACAGTGCAAACCCTGTCGGCATATGAGTGAATTTGTTCGCCATCCAGACCGTAACCGGAGCCTACAGGCATGCGTGGGTAGCGGGAAGCTAAACAGTTGCGTTATCCAGATTCTAGGCCCTGGCCACCGTGACTGTTCGGGTCTATTACGGTAGTCAACAATATTAGATCCGACTTATAGGCACGAATTGAGTTGTACCTTTGAAACACTTACCATAATGTAGAGGCAACTGTAACGCGGTTACGTCGTTAATTGCAGGATCCTTTGGAGGTATGTATACTAAAACCACTTTTCGCTGCTGTGCTACCTTCCTACTAATGTCCATTAATCTACTAGTCCATGTCCGTCACCTCACC